GTGGCTTCATTTGGTTTATATACTAGTTATACGTAAGAATTATGATGCAAGCTAGATTGTTTATACGATATATATGAATAATAGTAATGAATAGATTATTACTGCGATGAATAATAATGCATGGATTATTAGACAATGAACTAATATTGGGCACATATGGGATGTTATGTAATGCGTAGAGTTTGATTGGACGAATTTATAACTTATGATTTATAAATTAACAGTGTCATAAGTTAAAATTTCTTAGGTAAAAGGTATTTTTATCTTCAAAGCTGATTATGATTTTATATTGAAAGTATTTTTCCTTATGAATTGCAAAAAATTGAGGGTCACTATATCATGCTAAAGATGGTTTCACTATCTATTTTTTCCTCTTAATTTCTTCCCTTACTTCTAGGCTTCTATTTTTGCTCCTAATTTCTTTCCTTACTTCTAGGCTTTTATTTCCCCCCTCTAATTCTAGGCTTTCTATTTTCTTTCCCTAATTCTAGGCTTCTAATTTCCCTCTTTAATAGTTTTCAAAATAATATGCGCAACTACACGTTTTAGAATTAGCAAATTAATGCTATTTATTTTAGTTATAAAATATGAAAAAATTGTTGAGTATATATTTTTTAAACAACATGCTCCACCCTTTCTCCATGGAATCACAATTTTTCTCATCCAAACCTACGTAACAAATACGTTTTGTATATTTATATAGTTGAAATCATTGGTGACATGATCATTGAAGAATATTTGGAATTCAGGAATATTATTTGTGAAATTTATGACTTGGTACAAGTACTTGTTCTTTAGAGCTTCTACTATTATTTAAAAAAATGTAAAAGTATTATAAATCACAATAATATCAAGTAAAAACAATATTTTTTTCATGAGTAAACTTGTTAAAAATAATATAAATATTAAACTATCAAAATAAGCATGAACACTTGATATTCTATCGGTACATGTTATATACCATGTGCGTCTCATATTATACCGCAATAATATATTTTAATTGTTATTGTTTTGGTATCTAAGAACTAGAATACGTTTTTTTTTTTTGGTTATTCATTCGGTGCACGGAGCCCCACATTGAAACCCCGACTAAATTTTAGTATCACACACTGCAGGGCTCATTTGAGGGTGATGCTCCCAACATGATTTTTTCCATACCCATGACTCAAACCTGAGACCTCTGGTTAAGAGTGAAGCGATCCCACCACTGCATCCACGGATGTTGTCATTGAACCAAAATGACAACATCTTTTCCCATGAATGCTGGTGATGATCCTTACAGCTACTCCAAAAACTCCCATTTGCAGGTATTGATTTCTTGTCTTCAACTTATATATATCAATTGTTTTGAGCAAAGGCTCAACTATGCTATCGTCGTATGAGAAAAGGTTTATCCATATGATTATTTTTTAACTCCAATTTTGTAAAGTCATTTTTTTACTTACCTCAATGATTGTACATGTTAATTTAGCCTATCCATTAATAACCAACTGTTTTTAGCAATGCAATTACCCACAATACGAATTAAAATTGATATTCAATTACGCACACTCCTAAAATTTCCTTCTTACTTGTTGAAACTCCTTGATCTTCGCTTGTGTTAACATCTTATTATTGATAATCTAAATCTCTCAAATTTACGTTTATGTTAAATCGATTAACCAAATTTACAAAAGTTTAGTACGTGAGTTCACTTTGTGAGTTTAATTCTTGTTTACCGTTCCTTATGGGATTCGACCTCAACCTCTCATTGGGTTTATATTGCTAACGGCCGCCTACACATTGAATTATAAGATAAGTAGTTGAGCGTTATCAATAATCCGCAAACAACTTCTAACACTTTTCAACTGAAGTTTTGGATCAAATGTACTCTTTTTTGCTTCTTCTTCCTTAAGAACACATGAACAACATCAAGAACTCTCAAATTTCCAACTTTTTCAATTCTTCACGAAATCACCTCAAATTTCAAGAGTAGCTTCCCTCCGAGCAAGATACCAAAACTCAATATCTTTTTGAACTTGAATTCAACTTAACTCAACAAGACCCACTTGAAATAAGTACATTTGATCCAAAACTCCAATTGAAAAGTGTTAAAAGTTGTTTGGTGACTCGTTGAGGTAAAACATGGTTTTGCAAAACGAAAATTTAAATATAATGGCATGAATGAACATTTTCTCAAACAACAATGTAATAGATAAGCCAATTTTTTAACAGATGACATAAATGAGCCTTTTCTCAAAGTTCAATGGCATATTTGAGCCTTTTCCCAACTCTAAATTAAGAATTCATCAAACACCATGATGGGCAATGCAACATTTTGCCTATGGCAAGGTCCACGAGGGGGTGGCATAGTCTGGATTGGATGACGCATGCATGATGGACTTAGTTAGGAAAAAAAATTGTGCCCTTGCTATTACAAGTTATAACTTTTGATATAATGGTAAGCGTTTGATCATAAATGCACACCATACATCAATATATTGTTTGTACAGTAACTAAATTTATCCACGGTGACAATAAAATGCAATATATAATTATATATGTCATATTAAATTTATTGTACGAACTTTACCCACTATAACAGTAAAATAAGTAAATTTTATCTGTTATTGAATACAAAAAGAAGTGTTAGATAGTGCAAAGGAGATGATGAGAGATGCAATTATTCGAAAGCTTGACATCAAAATCATGTTATCTTCTTCAAACACATTTCGTATTACAGAGTTGGGATGTTCAATAGGACCAAACACTTTTAGTGCAATGCAACATGTTGTAGAAGCTTTAAAGGAAAAATACCAAAATAATATTCCTGAATTTCAAATTAAATATTCTTCAATGATCATATCACCAATGATTTCTCCCTCTTTCGATCACTACCTATTGATCGATCCTACTATGCATTTGGAGTTCCAGGATCTTTTCATGGTAGATTATTTCCATCGCGATCAATACATTTCGCTCATTGTTCTACTTCTATACATTGGTTATCTAAGATTCCAAAAGAGTTGTTAGATAAGAAATCTCCATCATGGAACAAGGGTTTGATTCATTATATAGGTGCTTCAAATATTGAAGTAATGAATGCTTATGTTGCTCAATTTGAAAAGGACATGGAAATGTTCTTCAATGCAAGAGCTGAGGAAATTGTTCCTGGTGGAATGATGATTCTAAATTCACCACAATTAAGTGAACGTCTCTTGAAATTTTTCGGTTCTAGTCTTATGGATTTGGTGAACGAGGTAGGTAGTTAAATTACTTAGTACTTCATCCATTTCAATTTGTTTGTCTAGTTAACCTTTTAATTTCAACTTTCCTTTTTGATACAGTCAGCGTATTTTTACTTTAAGACCATAAGATTCAAAAGACTTCTTTATTTTTTTAAACTTCGTATCAAATAACAATCAGACAAACAAATTGAAACAAAAGAACTAGTTAGATATAGCCATACATTTATAATAATTGAGGTTTGTTTCTTCTTCTTTTTCCACAGGGTAAGTTAGATGAATCTTTAGTTAACTCATTCAATGTGCCAGTGTATTTTCCCTCTATTGAAGACATGACTAAAGTGGTGGAGAAAAATGATTGTTTTAGCATAGAGAAATTATAGTTAACATATCCCAATTCAAAGCTTGTGGATGAGGCTGATGCAAAGACTTTGATCATAAACCTAAGAGCTGTTTTGGAAGGACTTTTCATCAATCATTTTGGGAGTAAAATAGCAAAAGAAGCTTTTACAAGGACTATTCTCAAAAGTGATGAGATTTCAGCATGGATGAAAATAAATTAAAAGAAAGCATGCCAATTATTTATCTCTTTAAAGCATAAATGAATTTCTATGGAAGAATGTACTATATATTATATAACTCGATTCTATGGAGTGATGTGATATATCTAATGTACAAGACTCGTAATTTTTTTTTTATCCTTCCTACTATATTATTTTAGCATTAAATCTTATGTTTGGGATCAATCTTTATCATTTTGATTTTCACTTCAATTTTAGTAGGTTTAGTTTGAAAAAATGAAAACCATCAAAGTGTTGTATTTTTAGGATTTAAATTTTATCTTTATTTTGGTATTTTTATTGACTCTCTTTAAAAAAGAGCCAATAATATTTTGCCACTTGGAGTAAAGATTTCACCTTATCCATGTCTAACAAACTTTATTTAATGGTAGTCATAAAATGTAATGCAATGCACATATAATTTGTTGATTACTTATGGAAGGCATTTGAAATAAACTGATGAATCGGATTTGTTGGTTCGTCTGGTTCACATATTAGTTATACCTATGAACTATATAACACAAGAGACTTTGTTGTTTCAATTATAAGTGTCGTCATTAAATTATTTATTTTTCATATATTGCATATTTACATAATAAAATTAGGATGATTTATCTGAATAACTTTTATCCCTTTGCAAAAACAACAACATAAATTTTAGCATCTTTTATTAATAATTTATAATATTGTATGTAAACAATATATAAAAATTTTGAGTCCTTAGAATTTTCGGGCCTAAAGCAATTGCTTTAATGGTTTCCCCTTTAAGTCACGTCTGTAGAAGCGGATCTTATTGGGACTCGTGCATTTACCTACTGGAATATACATGGTCAAATAATAACATAGATAAATAAGGATGCTAAATAAACAAAACAATATATGTAGTGATAAAATTAATTATACTAGAGTAGATGTAACAAATTTATTAGAATTCAGTATCTTCGATTCAAATTATGTAATTATCTTACAAAATTCATTTACAATGTACAAATTAATTTAAAATTCGTAAATTTCAAATTCTGAATCCGTCTAAGGTGAAGAAGAAGAAGAATATTAGCCAAAATGACAACATCTTTCCCCATGAATGATGGTAATAGTGCTTATAGCTACTTCAATAACTCCCAACGGCAGGTATTAATTTAATTTCTTCAATTTAAATTTTTAAAAAACATTTATTAACAAAATTTATTAATGTTATGATTATATATATATATAGAAAGAACTTATAGATGGTTCAAAGGATATGGTGAGAGATGCAATTATTGGAAAACTTGATGTTGAAGTCATGTTATCTTCTTCACACACATTTCGTATTATAGAGTTGGGATGTTCAACTGGACCAAACACTTTCCATGCAATGCAACATGTTGTAGACGTTGTAAAGGAAAAATATCACAATATTATTCTTGAATTTCAAGTATTTTTTAGTGATCATGTCGAAAATGATTTCAACACTGTTTTTCGATCACTACCTATTGATCGATCCTACTATGCATCTGGAGTTCCAGGATCTTTTCATGATAGATTATTTCCAACGCGATCGATACATTTTGCACATTCTTCTTGTGCTATACATTGGTTATCTAAGATTCCAAAAGAATTGTTAGATGCGAAATCTCCAACATGGAATAAGGGATTGATTCACTATGGTACATCAAATATTGATGTAGTGAATACTTATATTGCTCAATTTGAAATGGACATGGAAATATTCTTTAATTCAAGAGCTGAGGAGATTGTCCCTGGAGGAATGATGGTGTTTATTTCACCATTTTCAAGTTACATACGTCTTGTGGAATTTTTCGGGTCTAGTATCTTATGGATTTGGTAAATGAGGTAAGTAATATCTATATTTTACTTCTGTTGAGAGTTTTTCTGATTTCCGTTTTATGAATTTGGTAAATGAGGTAATTAGTATTCATATTTTACTTGAGTTGAAAGTCATATTTTCCCTTGTACTCTTAGAAAAGGGTCATATTTACCCATCGTCATATTTTTTTGATATATTTGCCCTTACCATCCACCTTTGGGTACATATTTGCCCTTATACATTTAACTTATCATGTCACCATTTTTATTAGTCCACGTGGCACCTACATGGCTCCATGCGTATATACTTTTATTATATGTACCCAAAGGTGGATGGTAAGGGTAAATATATCAAAAAAATATGACGATGGGTAAATATGACCCTTTTCTAAGAGTACAAGGGAAAATATGACCCTTTTCCGTTTTAAAAATATGTATGCATCATTAAAAGATAATTAAAAATATATTAAGTGAGAATTGACCTCTTGTATTTAAAATAAATAATTTAATGTACATTAAATTGACAGTATTATTATTTAGCCTTCTTATAACATAGCACCATCAAATATTTTTTCAATGTCAAAAATCATATATATATATATAAGAGAACCCTAGGTCAGCCTACGTGGCGCCACCACAAACAAGGATTCCCTTTAAATTTATTTATTTCCAAAATCAGCCTTCCTCTTTCATGAAAAGTTGTGGCTTTTATGAAAAGTTGTGACTTTTATTGAAAGGTTTCGACTTTTATTGAAAGGTCGTGACTTTTATCAAAAGTTGTGACTTTTATGAATTGTTGCGACTTTTATGAAGAGATGCGACTTTTATGAAAGGTTGTGACCTTTTCAAAAAGTTATGACTTTTCCAACGAGTTGTGACCTTTCTGGTAAGACACAATAAGCATTTGTTCACACTACCCTTTATTGTCTATAAATAGAGGGGTTTCCTCTCATTTTAAAATAACAAAAATTTTGAACTTCTTCTTCTTATTCTTTTGCACAATTAAATATTTGATTTTGAACTTCTTCTTCTTCATCTTCTGCACAATTAAATATTTGTGTACTTTGCTCTTGTTGAGTGGCTCGTTGACAAGGAGACATTGTGCATTCAGTGGGCTCGATTTTTTCTTTCTGTTTCATTCTATTGTTACAGATCCTGGAATGTTTTTTTACACTCATTAATTTATACTTATGATATTAATTGTTGTTTTTGAGTACATGTTTTAAACTTTGTTGTTTATGTTTCTGTAAAGTTATTGTTATACATATTTGTTAGTACAGACTCTACGTAAAGCCAACTACTATAGATTTACAAATAACTTTTTACATAATACATTTATTTACAACATACTCCAAAGAAATCTTTTCTTCTCCAAGAGATCAAGCCTAAAAATTTATATGATATTTTGTTGTTGTCATAATAATGTTAATATTAACAGGAGTAAAAAAAAAAGAAAGTCAAATGATAGAATTAAAACTAGCAATTAATTACAATTATATGATACACAATGATAAATATTCTCTCATACCAAAGTAATTTTTTGAACTTTTTTCCCATTATCCCTTCCTTCTCTTTCATCCTTTTCAAGGATCATAATGTTTTGTTTGTGCATGACTTCAATTCCAAAACACTATCATAACTATATTACACATGAAAATTTGATTTTGGAAGATTGCATTTTAATTTTAAAACACATAATGACTACATATTACTTATTGGTAAATCATATGATTATGGAACATTTGCTCTTGATAAACACATTAGTTATATATATATTTTTAAAAAAACATTTAATATTTTGAAAGCAATTAATAGTGTTATACTAACGAAATTTGCAAAGAAGAAAATTGAGAAAAATATTTATTGGACTCTCTAATTAAAGACACTATGTAACCATGCATATAGATGATAAAAATAAACTAATCATTGTAAAATTTCATAACCAAATTAATGAATCTGTAAAATGAAATTATGTAAACTAGGAGGAAATAGTGTTATGATTTGTAATTTTGCCTTTTCTTTTAATAAAACAAATGGTGAAATAGAATTAAATAACCTCTATACTCTTAAAACAATATTTATATAAAATTACTATAACATCAAAATACAAGAAAGTTCTATTCTAGTAAGTTTTAAAGAAGACTGTTCTAACCGCGCGAAGTGCGGGCCCATTTACTAGTTATATATATATATATATATATATATATATATATATTAGTTTTTTGACACGTGCGTTGCACGTGATTTTACCAGTTCCAAAAATATATGTTATAGTAAATACTATTGTTTATTTAAGCAAAGATTTGAATAATAAACTTAGTACAAAATAATATTATAAATTCTTTTGTGAATGTTCAATGTGGATCATCATATATATCTCGTATTCATGTGAACCTATGAAGATAGTTAATGAAATTTTTTATTAGTTAAATGTAATGATGTTTATACTTATTTTAATTTGATGAGTTTCAATCATGTAATTAGTTGTATCTCACTAATATTACCTTGTAGACGATATTTGATGTGTATATAAAAATTAAACTAATACAAACTTCAACAGACGTTATTACAAGTCATATAAATTTTTCTTCATCTAAAATACTGAAATATTAAGAAGCAGTAAATAATAAGTAAAACAAAAGGGCAATGTTTATATAATATTAACTATTTTGAAGAAAACTTTCTGACAATCTAAATCACATAAGTAGCATTGATAAAAAAAAAAGTCATTCTTTTGTCTTGAGCATAAAAAAAAAAAAAATTGTGACAATTCTCTAAATTTTGATAAAACGATATTTAGAAGCATATATCTACATCACAAGAGAAATTATTAACAAAAACAAATGAATTTAGACTGCATCATTTTAACTTCATATATTGGAACATTACATACTAATGTATATATTAAGAAAAAAATAATTATGATATCATCAAAATTATTTTCCTAAAGTACTTGAGGTTATAGAATATACCCTCTTAGGATATAACGATTTACTTCATCAGAATAGTGGTACCTCATATTCCACTAAACTTTTAACATACTCAACGACAATAAATCACACAAAAAATTTAAAATACAAGAAGAAGAAGAAGAAGAGTAGAAGATTAAAAACAATTGTGGTTGAAAAATGTGAGGAAGCCCCTCTATTTATCGCCAACAAATGGTATGAACAAATGCTTTTGTGTCTTATATGAAAAGTCATGACCTTTCCGAGAAATCACAACCCTTTGAAAAAGTTACAACTTATTGAAAAAGTCACAATTCTTTGGAAAAGTCACAACTCATCGAAAAATCACAACCCTTTGAGTAAAGTCACAACTTATTGGAAAAGTCACAACTCATATGAACAAATGTTTTTGTGTCTTATCTGAAAAGTCATGACCTTTCCAAGAAATCACAATCCTTTGGAAAAGTCACAAGTTATTGAAAAAGTCACAACTCTTTGGAAAAGTCACAATTTATCGAAAAATCACAACCCTTTGAGAAAAGTCACAACTTATTGAAAAAGTCACAACTCATCGAAAAAGTCACAACCTAAGTTAGGGATATTATAGTAATTTAACATTCAAGTTAGGAGTTCATGCTTTTAAGGTAATACTAGTTTTTCGACACGTGCATTGCACGTGAATACCAATTCAGAAAATATATGTTATAGTAAGTAGTATTGCTTATTTAAGCGAAGATTTGAATAAAAAGTTTTGCACAAAATAATATTGCAGATTTTTTTTTGTGAATGTTCAATGTGGATCATTATAAATATATCTCAATAATATTACCTTATAGACGATATTTGTTGTGTATTTTTCTTGTCATCTAACAAGATGTGTTTGCACATGTATTTCACGTTAAACTGTTCAAATGTCATATGAACATGTGAAGAGAACAACTACATTTTATTTTTTAGAACTAATTTAAATTAATATATTTTGAAGTTAGAAAATCTTGAACTTGATATACATTTGTGACATATATAAAACTTTAATTTAAATACAAATACCTACCCATATATGAGCTTTTCCTCGTCTAAAATACTGTAATATTAAGAAATAGTAAATAAGTAAGCAAAAAGGTAATGTTTATATAGTAATAACTATTTTGAAGCAAACTTCCTAACATTCTAAATCACATTGATAAATAAAGTCATTCTTTTGTCTTGAGCATCAGAAAAGCAAATTGTGACAGTTCTCTAACTCTTGAGAAGTTTAATAATTTTGAAAAAAGATGTTCAGAAGCATATATTTACATCACATGAGAAATTGTTTAAAAAAAACAAAATGAATTTAGACTACATCATGTTAACTTTATATATTGGAACATTACATACTAATGCATGTATTATGCAAATTGATTGCCTTTCGGAAGTGCCAATCGAGAAGTTCATCATTCAACAACTCTCAGGAAAACATGTTTCCGAGTTGTTTTTCGAGTTAGATTGATTGTATATTGAGGGTACAATTGATCCTAAGTGTTTGGGGAAGGAACTATGGAAGTTAGGGAGGTTTAGAGAGGAAGAACGGAAGAGTAAAGTCGGAAGTCGCTGGGCAAAAGGGCTGGGGCGCCGCGCTTTCCAGAGCGCCACAAAAACTTCTCTAAAGTTTGGCCTCTGGCGTGTCGCGCCAGCCAGAGTGCCAGCCAGACTTCTCTGAAGTTTGAGCGCTGGCGCCCTGCGCCTCTTAGAGCGCTAGGGACACCAGTTCTCCCCATTTGTTCCCCACCTTTTCGTACTTGTTCCTAAGCGATGTACCTATGCTTTCTAGTTGATTCCAACACTCTAAGGTACATCTAAACATCATGAAATCATCCATAAACATGAGATCATGAACCTTGAATCCATAATCCAATTCAAGGAAAGTTAAGATCAAAGTCAAAGAAGTTAAGAGTCAAGTCTAGAAGTTAAGAAGCAAGTCAAAGCAAAGTTTCTTATAGTTTTCAAGAGTTTTTATTAAACGTTTAAACTTCGTTTTAAGGCTCAAGTTTCAAGTAAAGTAAAGAGTAAATAGTTGAGTTCATTTCTCAAAAGTTATTA